CTGGCTTCGGATCAGCGCATCTCCAGCCGTTGTGGCCATCTGGGGAGTGAACCAGCAGATGGAAGACCTCTCTCCTCTCTCTGCCTCTCCTCACTCTGTGTAACTCTGACTTTCAAATAAATAAATAAAATCCTTAAAAAATAAGTAAATAAAGTAAAAAAATAAAATATCATATTAAAAGATTTTGATCCCTCCTCTGGGTGCATCTGGGTTCATTTAAGCCCACCTTTATTTTCTTTCTTTTTAAAAGATTTATTTATTTGAAAGACAGTGACAGGGAGAGACAGAGAGAGAGAAAGAGAGCAATATCCAACTGCTGATGCACTCTCCAAATGCTAGGCTAGGGCTAAGCCAGGCCACAAAAGTGGCAGGAACCCTAGTACTTGAGCCATTACCTACTGTCTCCCAAGTGCATTAGCAGGAAGCTGGATCATATGCATGGAGTAGCCAGGACTTGAACCAGGTACTCCTTTATGAGATATTAGCATCCCAAGTGGTGGCCCAACCTGCTGCACCGGAACACCTGCCCTGAGCCCTACCTCTTGCTTGGATTTTTTTGATTTTCTTCCATGTGGTCTCCTGGCATCTCATGAGGTCCTACCCCACCCTGTTTTTTTCCTGTATGATTGCCCAGGGTGTTCCTTCTAAGCTATGCATATGCATCTCATCTTGTTACTGTTTTTTTTTTTTTTTTTTTTAATATATGAAAAGCAGAGAGACACACACACAGAGAGGCAAAGACAGACAGAGATCTCCCCCAGATAGCTGGAGTTGGGCCAGGCTGAAGCCAGGAACCCAGAACTCAGTCTGAGTCTCTCAGTGGATGGCAGAAACTCAAGTGCCATCATCTGCTGCTTCTGGGGGTGTGTTAGTAAGAAGCGGGATCAGAAGCAGATATTCGATTCCTGGCACTCTGATATGGGAATGCAGGTGTCATAAGCAACAGCTTAACCCACAGTACCACAATACCTTCCCCATATCACCAATCTTCTTCTTCTTCTTCTTTTTTTTTTTTTTTTTTTTTTGACAGGCAGAGTGGACAGTGAGAGAGAGAGACAGAGAGAAAGGTTTTCCTTTTGCCATTGGTTCACCCTCCAGTGGCCGCCATGGCCGGCACACCGCGCTGATCCAATGGCAGGAGCCAGGTACTTATCCTGGTCTCCCATGCGGGTGCAGGGCCCAAGCACTTGGGCCATCCTCCACTGCACTCCCGGCCCACAGCAGAGAGTTGGCCTGGAAGAGGGGCAGCCAGGACAGAATCCGGCGCCCTGACCGGGACTAGAACCCGGTGTGCCGGCGCCGCAAGGCGAAGGATTAGCCTAGTGAGCCACGGCACCGGCCACCAATCTTCTTAAAATCCTTTTATAACTCTCTGGGCCGGCGCCGCAGCTTACTAGGCTAATCCTCCGCCTAGCGGCGCCGGCACAACGGGTTCTAGTCCCGGTCGGGGCGCCAGATTCTGTCCCGGTTGCCCCTCTTCCGGCCCAGCTCTCGGGGGTGGCCCGGTACTCCAGTGGAGGGTGCCCCAGGTGCTTGGGCCCTTGCCACCCCATGGGAGACCAGGAGAAGCACCTGGATCCTGGCTCCTGCCATCGGATCAGCGCGGTGCGCCGGCCGCAGCACGCCGGTCGCGGCGGCCATTGGAGGGTGAACCAACGGCAAAGGAAGACCTTTCTCTCTGTCTCTCTCTCTCACTGTCCACTCTGCCTGTCAAAAAAAAAAAAAAATCCTTTTATAACTCTGAGATTTTCAGACAAAAATTTTAAAAGTTTAACATTTTAAATTTTATATATGACTCCATTTTCTCTCCTCTATTAAGATATCATTTATATTTATTTATTTATTTATTTATTTTTTTACAGGCAGAGTTAGGCAGTGAGAGAGAGACAGAGAGAAAGGTCTTCCTTCCATTGGTTCATCCCCCAAATGGCCGTTACGGCCGGCGCGCTGCGCCAACCTGAAGCCAGGAGCCAGATGCTTCCTCCGGGTTCCCATGCGGGTGCAGGGCCCAAGCACTTGGGCCATCCTCCACTGCCTTCCTGGGCCACAGCAGAGAGCTGGACAGGAAGAGGAGCAACCGGGACAGGACCGGTGCCCCAACCGGGACTAGAACCCGGTGTGCCGGCGCCGCAGGCAGAGGATAAGCCTAGTGAGCTGCGGCGCCGGCCTATATATATATATATATATATATATTTTTTTTTTTTAAGGCTTATTGATTTTATTTGAAAGTCAGAGTTAGAGAGAGAGATCTGTCCACTGGTTTTCTCCCCAAATGGCTGCAACAGCCAGAGCTGGGCCAGGCCAAAGCCAGGATCCAGGAGCTTCATCTGGGTCTTCCAGGTTTGCGCAGGGGCCCAAGGACTTGGACCATCTTCTGCTGCTCCCCCAGGGGCACTAACAGGAAGCTGGATTGGAAATGGAGCAGCTGGGACACAAACTGGGGCCATTATGGGATGCTGGCATCACAGGCAGTGGCTTAACTCACTTCACCACAACACCAGGCTCTCATTTATACTTTTTTTTATTTTTTATTTTTTTATTTTTGACAGGCAGAGTGGACAGTGAGAGAGAGAGACAGAGAGAGAAAGCTCTTCCTTTGCCGTTGGTTCACCCTCCAATGGCCGCCGCTGCAGCCGGCGCACCGCGCTGATCCGATGGCAGGAGCCAGGAGCCAGGTGCTTTTCCTGGTCTCCCATGGGGTGCAGGGCCCAAGCACCTGGGCCATCCTCCACTGCACTCCCTGGCCATAGCAGAGAGCTGGCCTGGAAGAGGGGCAACCGGGACAGAATCCGGCGCCCCAACCGGGACTAGAACCCGGTGTGCCGGCGCCGCAAGGTGGAGGATTAGCCTATTGAGCCACGGCGCCGGCCTCATTTATACTTTTGAAAACATTTTTTTAGTGTTTGCCTTAGAGTTTGCAATAGACGTTTACAAGTAATCCAAGTCCACTTTCACTAACATGTACCACTTGAGGGGCAGTGCAAGTACTTAGGGACATCCTCAGTTCCTCCCTTGCATCCTTTGTTTCGTTGCTGTCACTCATTTCCACCTCTCTGCTCTATTATCCATCTGTCCTTAGATTTGTTGTGCACTTTTTCCTTTGGAGTCCCTCGTGTCTTAGTCATGGTGATTTTAAATTCCAGGTCTGACAATTCCAATATCCCTGTCATACCTGAATCTGGCTTTGATGCTTGATCTGTTTTTTTTTTTTTTTTAATAATTTTTTAAAAGACTTATTTATTTGTTCAAGAGTTACAGATAAGCAGGAGGAGAGAAAGAGAGAGAGGTCTTCCATCTTCTGGTTCACTTCCCAGTTGGCTGCAATGGCCAGATCTGGGCCGATCCAAAGCCAGGAACCTGGAGCTTCTGTTGGGTCTCCCACACAGATGCGGGGCCCAAGCACTTGAACCATCTTCTGCCGCTTTCCCAGGCCATAAGCAGGGAGCTGGATCAGAAGTGGAGCAGATGGGACAGGAACCAGTGCCCATATGGGATGCCGGTGCCGCAGATGGAGGCTTAACCTACTACGCCACAGAGCTGGCCCCCAGTCTGTTTCTTCAGGCTGTGTTTTCTTTTGCCTTTTAGTAGGCCTTGTAATTTTTTGTTGCAGCTGGACGTGATGTACCCGGTGAGGGAAACTGAGGTAAATAGGCCTTGAGGGCGTTTATCCGGCCAGGAGTTAGGCCACATTCGCTGGTTCGCTGTGTGCTGCCGCTACTGTTTCAAAGGCATCTGAGAGGAGCCCTGCTGTGCGGCGAGGTCAGGAGGGCATGCTCCTACAGTCCTGTGATTAAGTCCCGGTCTCTACTGAGCCTGTGCCCCGGCACTTCCCCAGTGCTTCTCACTCTCCTCTCCCCGTAGGTGAGGCAGGAAGGCTAGAGGGGTGGGGTTCCCTTCCCCCAAATCAGTTAGGTTCTGCTAAAGCCCCAACTGGTTAGGCTCTGATACAATATTTCCTTTGAGGGTAGGCCTGGTTAAGAAGAGTGCTCTGGGTGTATTTATTTTATTTTTAAAGATTTACTTATTTATTTGAAAGGTAGAGTTATAGAGAGGCAGAGAGAGAGAGAGAGAGAGGTCTTCCATCTGCTGGTTCACTCCCCAAATGGCTGTAACAGCCAGGGCTGGGCCGATCTGGAGCCAGGACCAGGAGCTTCTTCTGGGTCTCCCACATAGGTACAGGACTTAGGCCATCTTCTACTGCTTTCCCAGGCCATGACAGAGAGATGGATTGGAATTGAGTAGCTGGGACTTGAACTGGCACCCATATGGGATGCCAGCACCACAGGCGGCAGCTTTACCTGCTATGCCATAGTGCTGGCTCCTGTATTTATTTTATAAAAGATTTATTCATTTGAAATGCAGAGCAGCAGAGAGACAGAGAGAGAGAGAGAGACAGAGAAAGAGAGAATCTTCCATCTGCTGGTTCACTCCCCAAATGCTTGAAACAGCCAGGGCTGGGCTAAACCACAGCCAGGAACTAGGAGCTCCATCCAGGACTCCCTCATGGGTGCAGGGGCCCAAACACTTGGGCCATCTTCTACTGCTTTTCCAGGCTCATTAGCGGGGAGCTGGATTGGAAGTGGAGCAGCTGGGACTTGAACCGGCGCTCCCCTATGTGATGCAGGCATCACAAGCTGCAACTTAAGCCGCTGTGCCACAACGCTGGCCCTCTGGACGTATTTAAAAATGGCTACGTTCCCCGTCTCTGCCAAGGCATCAGGGACTATCATGTATTACATATACTGCTCTTATTCCCCAGACAGACCCTGAGCTCCCCAAGAACAGCCTTGGGACGCTTTTCCTAGTTATCCCAGTGTCGTGCAGCACAGGCCTGGTTGGCAGCAGGCGCTTGGGAAACACAAGTTGACATCTGGCTCAGCCTGGAGAGCTGCGCCGGGAGACGCCTGTGGCTGGGGAAGTAGGCAGCCCAGAGCAGTGGAGCAGGGGCAGGCTTTGGCTGGGGGGTAAGCCCCTTCTTTCTCCATCCCTTCCGTCCTCAGTCTCGTGGGTGAGCACCATGAAGGCTGACCTGTCCGGCTTTAATATCGACGCCCCCCGCTGGGACCAGGGCACTTTCTTGGGAAGGGTGAAGCACTTCTTCAACATCACGGACCCCCGCACCATCTTTGTACCGGAGCGGGAGCTGGACTGGGCCAAGGCGACAGTGGAAAAGAGCAGGTGAGTGATCAAGGGAGAGGAGCGGGAGGCAGTGGGTGACACTGATGGGGTCCTCCAGGGAGGCGGCGGCGGCTGCGGGTGAGCGAATAGACAGAGATCTCGGGCGTGGGTCAGGCCGGCAGTAACCCCCTGCTGTCCTTGGGGGAAAGGTTGGGGGTCATGCCCCCAGGCACCCAGGTGGAGCAGCTGCTGTATGCCAAAAAGCTGTACGACTCGGCCTTCCACCCTGACACGGGGGAGAAGATGAACGTCATCGGGCGGATGTCCTTCCAGGTCCCCGGCGGCATGATCATCACGGGCTTTATGCTGCAGTTCTACAGGTGGGTCCGAGAGCAAGGCGGTGGCAGGTGCAGCTGCCCGGGGCTGCGAGATGGGGAGCCGTGTTAGGATGATGATGGATACTGGGAACCGCGCTGAGTTCTTTGCGTGCATTGCCTCATCCCACCCTCTGAACACCCTGACACACACACGCCTCTATCAGCTCCATGTCACGCATGAAGAACAGAGAAACTTGTCCAAGGAGATGTGGGCGCCTGGATCCTAACCGAAGCAGTCCGCTCCCGAGCGCTCAACAAGCCAGCTCTCCCGATCCCTGCTTTAAAGAGTTCTTCTCCTACAGTGCAATTTAACTATTTTTATTTTTTTGACAGGCAGAGTGGACAGTGAGAGAGAGAGACAGAAAGAAAGGTCTTCCTTTTGCCGTTGGTTCACCCTCCAATGGCCGACACGGCCGGCGCGCTGCGGCCGGTGCACCACGCTGATCCGATGGCAGGAGCCAGGTGCTTTTCCTGGTCTCCCATGGGGTGCAGGGCCCAAGCACTTGGGCCATCCTCCACTGCACTCCCTGGCCACAGCAGAGAGCTGGCCTGGAAGAGGGGCAACCGGGACAGAATCTGGCGCCCCGACTGGGACTAGAACGCGGTGTGCCGGCGCCACAAGGCAGAGGATTAGCCTAGTGAGCCTCGGCGCCGGGCTTTTTTTTTTTTTTTTATCAGTAACATCCCAATAAAAAATGCAAAGAGCCTTTTCCTCATCCCAGCTGGGGGGAGGATTCCCTCTGTGTGGAGCTGCTGGATGTGTGACTCCCCTGCAGCCCGGCCGCCTCCTGCCCCTGTGTCTGCTCACTTATGGAGCTGAGCCCAGGGCCTGGTGTTGGAAGTGTGCACCAGTTTCACTGAGGAGCCCAAAAGTAAGGGCTAGACTAGGGGAGCAGGGAGCGCTGAGTGACTCCCTCTGTCTCTGGAGGGGCAGTGCAGTTCCAGAAAGTTCCAGGGGGGGAGTGGTCTCTTGCAGAGCAGGATCTTGCCATGGATGGGAGGAGGAGGGGCACTCCAGGCACGGGAGCTGCAGATAATGCGATTTGATGGGGGACCTCAGCCCTCCCTCCCTTCCTACGCCCCGTCCCTTCCTGGCCTCCCTTCCTGTTAGGACGATGCCGGCGGTGATCTTCTGGCAGTGGGTGAACCAGTCCTTCAATGCCTTAGTCAACTACACCAATAGGAATGCTGCTTGCCCCACATCTGTCAGGTAGGAGACCCGGGCCCCCAGCCATCCTCTTGTTTCCCCCGGGGGCAGCCCCTGGGGGCGGGCAGGAGAGGAAGGCGGCCTTTGCCAGGGGCTGGAAGCATTTTCTCAGGCTCCCTAGGAGAGTGTCTTCCTCACCCATTCAAAGTGCATCCACTCCTGCTTTCTACAAATGCTTCTTGACCGTAATGTGTCACAAGTGCTCTGGGTGCTGGTCCCTGTTCTGGTGGGGCTGAAGGTGCTTTAAGAAACCAAGCATAGTGATCCTGGGTGAGGTTCACTGCCATTGAGGACAGTCTCGGGGTGACAGGACAGAGAGCAGTGAGGGGGCAGCCATCTGCAGAGATGGCATGTCAGCTGGAAGCTCGGAGCCCAGGGAGGGATCCCCAGGCAGGAGCTGCAGACTGCACAGGTTCTGGGGTGGGAAAGAGCTGGCATAAAGGCCAAGGGGGTGGGGACATTGTGAGTGAAGCAGGGAGGGTCCCAGAGGAGCCTGGGGGCAGATCACGTGGTTTTTAGGCCTGGAGCCGCCTCACCGGGCTTTGTCCTGGCCAGCAGGGCACTGAGTTATGAACACCTCTCTCCTCCCCCAGGCAGATGGCCCTTGCCTACTTTACAGCTACAACCACCGCAGTGGCCACGGCTGTGGGCATGAACATGTTGACCAAGGTATGGTCTGGGGCTGCTGTGGGCCAGGTGGCCACTGGGGGGCAGCAAAGGCTAGGGGAAAATGGCAGGGCTGTCCCTGGTTGGGTCCTTCCTGGGCCTTTGTAGGGGTTTGGGACTCCCAGGCTGGATTTCCAGATCCATGGCAGTGGCCAGGTGTAAAGTCCTCTAATGATTTCTAGTCCCTAAACCCCTCTACCCCCAGCCTCCCAAGCCTGAACCACTCCCACTGTCCTTGCCTGGCAGAGAGCTCCACCCTTGGTGGGCCGCTGGGTGCCCTTTGCCGCCGTGGCTGCAGCCAACTGTGTCAACATCCCCATGATGCGCCAGCAGTGAGTACAGAGACCCCCTGCCCTCTGCACACCACCAGGTCGGCGGGGAAAGGGCACAAGACCAAGGCCGGGGGTGGATCCTGGGGACCAAGCTGGGGGGGTGGGAGAGCTGCTCCCTGCGTTCCTGTGGTGTTGGTCCAAGGGGTGTGAGTGCCTTGGGCATCCTTTCTGGGGTGGTGGGTGGTGGGGGAGACAGGGCGGCCCTTCCAGTGAAACCATGGTCCAGTCGAGAACTCTGCCTGTGTCTCAACCCCGGGTGCCGGGTACTGGCTTGCAGAGGGTCTGTACCAAGGCTCTCTGAAGGAAGCCACAGGAGCAGGTGGATGCTTTCCAGGCGCCAGCACTGAGCTTTCCAGCAAAAAAGAGGGAGACACACATCTCCTGGGGCCTATTCCCTGACCAGAGAAAGCACAGGTGGTCCTCTGTTAGGAAGCTGTGCTGATGTGGTGGCCGTGACAAGTGCCACGCAGGGTGAACAGCGTCTACACATTTTCTTGGGGCTACTCACGGTGGAGATTGATCGCGGCCTGTCTCGGAGAGAGCACCCGCTCTGCCCGCCTTGTCTCCCTCCCCGCCACAGCGGCTCTTTGTCTGCAGATGGGTGCAGCCCAGCCACCACCCTGGTCTGAGGCGCGTGCCGTCCAGAGCAGGCCTGGGCGTAGCCGCAGAGTAGCTACTGTTTGTGGAGGGGTCGCTGTGTGTCCAGTGCCCCAGCAGCTGTTTTGCGGGCACCGTCTCGCTTCATCCTCACCAGATCCTAAGAAGGAGATACCAGGATGATCCCTGTTTAGGAGGGTGAAGGACCGTGCTGCAGGTCACACACACGTCCGGGACTCACCCTGGGCAGTCTGGGCCCAGGGCCAGCTCCCTTAGTCACTGCCCTTGATTGCTTCTGAGATACCTCTCACTGGAGGGCAGAAGGAAGGTCAGCAGGCCAGCTCGCGGGAGGCGGCTTCCTGGTGCTGGAAAGCCTTGGCTTTGGGCCCTTGTGAGTCACGTGGATGGCAGGCTTTAGCGCTCCGTCCCCCACGTCTAGCATCTCCTGTCTGTGTTTAGGGAACTCCTCCAGGGCATCTCCGTGAAGGACAGGAGCCACAATGAGGTCGGCCAGTCCCGGGTGAGCACAGGCCTCCCTCTGGGGTGGGAGGAGGGAATCCTGGCTCAGACTCTGTCGGCTCCGCAGTGAGCAAAGCAGGCCCAGGCGTGGTTAGAGGATTGAGGAGCCTTCTCTCTGAGCCTCTCCCGATTGTCCTTGAGTTTACCCCCCAGTTCTCTGTGCACAGCAGGCCTCTGATGACCTCGCTCTATCATTTCTGGTCTGGCTGGGTGGGAGAGGGTTGGGTGAGGGTCCCATCCCCTTCACCACCTCAGACTTGGCCATGACCCTGACCTAGCCCTGCAGTGCACTAGATACGTTGTTCCTGACAGCTCGCTCCTTCCCGTCCTCAGAGAGCTGCGGCAGTGGGCATCACCCAGGTGGTTATCTCCCGGATCACCATGGCAGCTCCTGGCATGAGTAAGAGGGGGAAGTCTTTCCATCCCTGGGCACCTAGTGCAGGTCCCAGCCACACTCAGCCATGAGTGGGCGAGGGACCCCTGTCTCCACAGCTGTGCTTCTCACGCGGGCGTGCTGAAAGGCCTAGAACACCAGCGAACCGGAACTTTGGGGGAGAACGTTCTTTTCATTGGTGTGCTAGAGAGACAGTGGGAGAGGGAGTAGACGCCCTGCCTTGGTTTGCTTCTCACAGGGGTGTATTCCAGAGGGTGTGCCCGCAGGTGGCTTTGAGCTTTGGGAAGGACACTTTGGGCCTGATGGCACATGTCCCATGATTATTGCAGGTTACAGGTGTGCACAGTGGGGGGTTTGGAAGCACTGCACTGGGACTTGGGGGGACAGGCTGAGGGTGACCGTGCCTATGCAGTCTTCCATTCTTCCAAATGAAAGGGGTTTTCTGGGGCTTCTAGGGAGGGGAGAATCACTCAGCCCTGATGTGGCTTCACAAGGGCTCTTGGGGAGAGTCTTCCAGGCCTCCCTAGCTGCTCATGGTCTCTTCCAGTCTTGCTGCCAATTGTCATGCAGAGGCTGGAGAAGCTGCATTTCATGAAGGTAAATGGGGTCTCCCTTTGCATCTTCCCTGCCCAGAGGGGCCCCCTAGACCCCTGTACCTGGGACTCCTGACCTCCCTCCCTTCCCGCCAGCCAGCACCTCAAGCAGAGCCCATCCCAGTGCCTGCTGGCCTTCGGTCCTAGACATCATAGCAGGCTTCCCGACTGTTGCAGAGAGCAAGGAGAAAACCCTTGCCCCCACCTCAGGGCGGGGAGATCCCTGCCTCTGGGTTCCTGTAGCTGGCGGATCTGTGGCGGGACAGGCGCGGGGTTCACCTCAAGGTCTAGGAGTCCCACGCGGGTCTCTCTTTTGTTTCTATGCAGAGAGTCAGGGTCCTGCACGCCCCATTGCAGGTCATGCTGTGCGGGTGCTTGTGAGTATCGTGCTCTGACGGTTTGGGTTCTGTGGTGGCTGGGGAACCTAGGTCCTGTCTTCTTGCAGCATTGGAGAACGTGTGCTCCTTTACCTGACTTTAAAAGCGGCCAAGCTCAGGAGTGGGCGTTTGGCCTAGTGATTAGGATGCCCATGTCCCATATTAGAAGGCCCGGGTTCTATACCCTCCTCCAGCCCTGACTCTAGCTTCCTGCCTTTGCAGACCCTGGGAGGCAGTGGTGATGGCTCAAGTAATTGGGTTCCTGCCACCCACAAGGGAGACCTGCATTGAGTTCTAGGCTCCCAGCTTTGGACTGGCCCAACCTGGGCTGTTGTGGGCATTTGGGGAGTGAACCAATGCATGAAAGATCTCTTTCTGTTTCTCTCTTTCTCTCTCTGCCTCTCTGCCTCTCCAGTACATTTTAAAATATAAGCAATTTTGTAAATGGCCAAGCTCAGAATACCCGTGGCCCATTCGCAGAGTTCACACCCGTCTTTTGTAAAGGCATGCGGCTAGCGAGGCTGTGTGCACGCATTCCTGTGGAAAACAGAGTGATCTCCTGTCCCTCAGACCGCAAATCCGGACCTGTGTTAGAGAAGAGACAAGAGCGATGAGGTATAGCTCTGTCTGAGGCTGTCTGTCAGGCGTCCCAGCCTTGCGAGCAGGAAGAAGCCGCAAGTCGCGTCGGCATCCTCAGGTGCCTGCCTCCGGCCGGACATGTTCCCAGCGTGAATCACGCCCGGCGAGGCCGCGGGGCTAATGCTGACAGCAGTAACAGCTGGCATTGGTTCAGGGTCTTCTGCGTCCCTGCCAAGGGACTGCTTCGTGTCTGTAATTTCACTTAGCACTGTCTGCCCTGGCGGCATGTGTGTGTCCTGTTAGCATCTTCCACAAGTGACGAAACGGAGGCTTACGTTAAAAAAAAATTGCCCCGGGTGTATGGCTGGTAATTGGTGAGGCTGAGATTTGATCTTCAGTGCTCCAGCACTGCGCTGTACTAACTCCTGCTAATTGCCGGCCGGGCGCTTTACGGAGTCTCACCGACTCCTCCCGGTAGCCCTGCCCGGCGGGCACCGCTGCCCTTCCTCTGCTGGCTCGGAGGTTATTTGCTCAAGATTGAGTAGCTTGCAGGTGGCGAAGCTGGGATACAAAGGCAGGTCTGTTAGACTCCCACATCTTGTCATTTGCATCCCCAACTCAGGCCTGTCTCAGAACTTGCTGGAAATAACGATCGTGGAGTCCTTGGCCCCGGACCTCTTGAGTCAGCAGCATGGACCCACGAGCTCCTCCAGCCACCTGTGGGTGCCAAGAAGGTGCTTAGTCTCCACCCCTTGGTGGGTGCTAGCAGCCGAAGGAGCTGGGCTCTAGGATTCACGCCATCGCCCCTCGCCCTGCATGTCTGCTGTGTGCTGTCACTCCTGCCCCTCCTCCCTGCATTCTCTCTTCATCTGCTGGAACCTGGGGCTGTGGGATGGGAGTGGAGGGGGTTCTGGTTTTGTCCCCATAGCAGGATGAGTTTCCCAGCACTCAGAGGCCAGGGAAGGCATTGGAGGAAGGGGGCTCTGGGGCTACCTGGGAGGACAGGCCTGGTGCACAGGCATTGAGGGTGGGGTGTGAGGGGCCACGGGAGCCTTGGTTTCTGACACCTTGGTTTCTCTTTCCTCGCAGCCTCATCTTCATGGTGCCAGTGGCGTGTGGGCTCTTCCCGCAGGAATGGTATCAGCCTTTCACCGAACAGCCTGCCTGGGCGCGCCCTGACCTGCCTGCTGTCCAGGAGGGGAGAGGGAGGGGACAGCAGGGGCAGCGTTTGTCCAAGGCCAAGTGCCCAGCAGCTTAAGCTTGGGGCCTCTTAGCATGGGGAAGGGCCAACAGAAACAGATGGCCAGGGGCCAGAGGAGGCCAGAGGAGCGAGGGCTGCCCGGAGAGGAGCGGCAGCGAGAGGCATTCTCCCACTGCCGCCGGGTTGGGAGGAAGGGCTCCCTAGCTGAAGCCGCTCTGTAAAGTTAAACAAGGGCCCTGGCACTTATTCTGACTTGGGTTTGCCAGAGGGTTGGCAACTTGAACCTCACCACTTGCTTTGTGTGTCCTTGTTGGGGTCGGTGGGTGGGGGGAAGGGGTGGGAAGCATCGGGCCAGGCACTGGAGGAGGAGGCCTGGCTTGATCAGATGCTGAGAGAGGCGCGGTCTCTGCTGCCTCAGTGCTCCTTCTCAGGACCAGTTCTGTGGTCACCTGCTAGACATGGTGTTCTGAGCACGGTGCTTGTCACCTTGTGGGAAGGCGAGAAATTTAAACCAGAGAGAATGGAGTTGGGCCCGAGTAGAGGTAAAAGCAACATATTGTGAGATCAATAACCCTTCTGACTGGACAAATCAGGAAGGTCTTCTTGGAGGTGGCGTTTGGGTCGGACTTTATCTGAGGATAACTCGCTGCTTGTCCCAACTAGCACGCGCATCGCCTGCTTCTTGCTCTCGTTCCAGTGAATTGCCGGCTTCCTTCCTGGAACCAGAGCTCCGAGACACCATCAAGGCCAAGTACGGAGAACTCATGCCTCACGTCTACTTTAATAAGGGTCTCTAAGCGCCCCACCCCAGCCAGGACCAGTGGAACCCCTGTTCACCGGCTCCACCTTAGCCACCGTTCCTCAGGCCTGCGGCTGGGGTGGGTGGGTGGGAAGATGCCTCATGCAGGCACCTGGACTGTTGGACTCCTCTAGGGGGTACAGATGAAGAGGGGAGCAGAGACCCAAGCCCTCGCTCTGCTTTCTCCTTAACCCTCGGCCCCAGGAGACCAGCGCTGAGGCCCTCACAGGAAGTTGCTGGGCCTGAGGCAGGCAGTCAAGGAAGTCATGTGGAGAAATGAGGAAACTTCTAGGATTCTGGCTGCAGCCAGGCCTGGGGAAGAGCCTCAGGGCCTCCCTTCTTCCTCGTCCTCTCCCAAGTGATGGGACCACTCTCCCGGCCACTCCAGCCTGACGGAGGAGGCAGGGAGGACATCCGTGTCCACCTGGAGCCCACCGTCCTCGCGCTTCTCCCCGTCGCCCAGAGCCAGAGAGCCGCCTCGGGAGCGCTGCCCCGCCTGAGCCTGGCGGGCCCCGGCAGTTCGGGGCCGCGGGGTTCCATGGTGCGCCACGCCCTGTCCGTGGGCACTGACTGTTCCGTCTTAAAATCGTGCCTGAGTCTTTCCTTGGCGTCTTTTTCCATTGCCGTGGAAGTTCTCATTCTTCATCGCCTCCGGCCTCTGTTATAAAAGATAAACCCACTCGCCGTGAGGGACAAGCACGGAGGGAAGCGTTCATCACACATTTCCGTGGGGGTCATTTCCTGGCTGCCTCCCTTCCTCAGAGAAAGACCACTGTGTCCGGATAGGAAGGGGAAGTTTTACTTGGACACCTCTAGGAGGACGTCGGCCAGGACCAAAGAGCCTCTCAGACCAGGCGCAGGGCGCAGCCGCTTCCCTTCTGCTGCCCCTGCGGGGTCGCTGGCGCTTACCTGGGGTCGGTGTGGGTGCGTTCTGTCTGGTAGGATCTGCTGGCTCTGTGCCGAGGACGTCACTGTGACCTGAATAAATCACTTGCGAGAGCATGGGAAACTGGTCCCCAGACCAAGTTAATAAAGCCTCCGTGGGAAGCGGGAGCTGGGCTTGCCTGGTGCTGGCTCCTCTGAGCCGAGGCTCTCAACTCTGAGGGGAACCTGTGCCTGCCTCGAGGCCGCTGTCTGCTTCCTTGATGAAGCGGAGGAATCTGCCTGTCCCGGAAGCGCCGGAGGTTTCCCAGAATGGGAGCAGGGCTCAGCGGACTGAGGCCCAGGGCTAACACCTGCTACCTGCTTTTGTCCACCTAGGATCTCAGTATTTGCATCCTGTTAAAAAGACTGGGAACGTGTGGCTGAGACTCTACATAGGTGATGTGCAAAGCCTGCGACATTTGCTCTGTGGCCCTTTACACAAAAGGCGTGCACACACAGTGCATCAGATTCACCCCAGGACCTGTTAGAACATGGGTCCCAGGGCCGGCCCCCGGGTGTCCCTGCCATAGGTCTTGGGGGAACCTGAGGATGTGCTTTTCTATTTCCTGGTGCAGATTTTTGTTGCAGCCCACACCTGGAGGAATTTTGCTCCAACAGGAAAGAGCCCCCTCCTTGATGGCAAGATCCTGGCTACAACTTGATCCACCTTTCTCCCACTGATTACAAAAATTGTAATCCACATATCATAAAATTTATCTTTTATTTTTAAAAGAGATTTATTTATTTATTTTATTTTTTGGACAGGCAGAGCGGACAGTGAGAGAGAGAGACAGAGAGAAAGGTCTTCCTTTTGCCATTGGTTCACCCCCACAATGGCCGCTGCGGCCGGCGCCATGCGCTGATCCGAAGCCAGCCGGGTGCGTCCTCCTGGTCTCCCATGGGGTGCAGGGCCCAAGCACTTGGGCCATCCTCCACTGCACTCCTGGGCCACAGCAGAGAGCTGGCCTGGAAGAGGAGCAACCAGGACAGAATCCAGTGCCCCGACCGGGACTAGAACCTGGAGCGCCAGTGCCGCAGTCGGAGGATTAGCCTATTGAGCCGCGGCACCGGCCTATCTTTTATTTTTAAAAGAGATTTATTTATATATTTGAAAGAGTTACAGAGAGAGGGGGAGACAGAAGGAGAGATCTTCAATCTGCTGGTTCACCTCCCGGATGGCCACAAAGGCCAGGCCTGGGCCAGGCTGAAGACAGGAGCCAGGAACTCTGTCCCAGTTTCCTGAGCTCAGGGGCCAGGCACTTGCGTCATCTTCCTCTGTTTCTCAGGCATATTAGCAGGGAGCTGGACGGGAAGGCAGAGCGGTCAGGAATCAGTACTCCAGCACGGGATACCAGCAACCCAGTGGCAGCTCAGCCCACTGCGCCACAAGGTCAGCCCCACACATGCAGCCTTTGTGTGTGGCTTCGTTCACTGGGTATTTTCCAGTCCATCCGTGTTGTAGCGTGTGCAATGTGGTTTTAGCTGGTGTCTGAGCAGAGGAGTCCGTTTGAGTAGCTTCCTACAATAGGAGACGCCTTTTGAAAGCGTTTGCTGTGACTGCTTTTCTGCCCCATTTTACAGCATCTCTGTCTTCTTTGAGGTGAATCCTGCGGAGTGTTGACAGGGAGGGGGCTAAGGTGACGAAAAGGCCCTGGTGTGGAAAGTGCTGACGCAGACTGCACAGTTTAATATTTGTCCTGTCGGCCGGAGCCACGGCTAACTAGGCTAATCCTCTGCCTTGTGGCGCCGGCACACCGCGTTCTAGTCCCGGTCGGGGCGCCAGATTCTGTCCCAGTTGCTCCTCTTCCAGGCCAGCTCTCTGCTGTGGCCAGGGAGTGCAGTGGAGGATGGCCCAAGTGCTTGGGCCCTGCACCCCATGGGAGACCAGGAGAAGCACCTGGCTCCTGCCATTGGATCAGCGCGGTGCGCCGGCCGTGGCGGCCATTGTGGGGGTGAACCAACAGCAAAAGAAGACCTTTCTCTTTGTCTCTCTCTCTCACTGTCCACTCTGCCTGTCAAAAAATAAATAAAAATAAAAATAAATAAAAAAATATTTGTCCTGTCTGGTAGCTCCCTCTCAGGTAAAAGGAGAGGGGGGGAAGTTCTGACAGAATCCTGTGTTTGCCAAAAATTGGGGTTTCCTGATATGATGATACTTGGCTTTTCTGTGCAGCACTTATAACTCCCTGAGGCCAGGATTGGGAGACCCTGTGCCGTGAAAATAGTTCGGCCCTTGCCTATCATCTTTATTTCTCCATGGGGGAGTTTGACTTGTGGGACCAATGGATTTCTGAGAATCCACAGATGGGCAGATACACTGGTCACCTCTTGTAGTCCTTGGGAATGCAGGATCAAGAGGCAAAACTGGATACTGTGAAACTGGGACAAAATGGATTCCTTCACTCTTACCTGTTTTCCATTTTACCCACATTTAAGCTAAGGACAGCTCCCTTTGGGCTCAATTATGGGCTAGATTGGGCCAGGCTATAAATCCTTTTGGCAAGTTTTTGGTGGGAGAATTTGGTTGCTAGAGGCAGCTGGCTTTTCTGCCATGGTCTTCATTTGTCATTTACTTTACCAACATTTATTGAATTCATGGTTGACATCCCTGTTTGGGATGTTGTGGAGATACTTTTTTTTTTTTTTAAGATTTATTTTATTTATTTGAAAGAGTTTTAGAGAGAGAGAGAGAGATGGAGAGAGAGAGGTCTTCCATCCGCGGTTCATTCCCCAGATGGCTGCAACAGCCAGAGCTGCACTGATCCAAAGCAAAGAACCAGGAGCTTCTTTCGGGTCTCCCACGCGGGTGCAGGGGCCCAAGGACTTGGGCCATCTTCTACTGCTTTCCCAGGCCATAGTAGAGAGCTAGATTGGAAATGGAGCAGCTGGGACTTGATGCCGGTGCTTCAGGCCAGGGCTTTAATTCACTGCGCCACAGCACTGGCTCCCGGAGAGACTTTTTTAAAAAAACATTTATTTATTTGAAAGTCAGAATTACACAGAGAGAGGAAAGGCAAAGAGAAAGGTCTTCCATCCCGTGGTTCAATTGGCTGCAACAGCCAGAGCTGCAAAGCCAGGAGCCAGGAGCTTCCTCTGGGTCTCCCACATGGGTGCAGGGGCCCAAGGACTTGGGCCATCTTCTACTGCTTTCCCAGGCGAGAGCAGAGAACTGGATCAGAAGTGGAGCAGCAGCTGGGTCTCAAACCGGTGCCCATATGGGATGCTGGTGCTTCAGGCCAGGACGTTAACATGCTGTGCCACAGCGCTGGCCGCACTTACTTTTTTTTTTTTTTTTTTTTTTTTAAATTTTTAGAATAAAATCTAGGGACTGGTGCTGTGGCACAGCAGGTAAAAGCCCTGGCCTGAAGCGCCAGCATCCTATATGGGCGCCAGTTCGAGACCCAGCTGCTCTACTTCCCATCCAGCTCTCTGCTATGGCCTGGGAAAGCAGTGGAAGACAGCCCAAGTCCTTGGGCTCCTGCACCACGTAGGAGACCTGGAAGAAGCCCCTGGCTCCTGGCTTTGGATCGGTGCAGCTCTGGCCTTTGTGGCCATCTGGGGAGTGGACCAACAATTGGAAGATTTCTCTCTCTGTCGCTACCTCCCTCTGTAACTCTGTCTTTAAAATAAATAAAATAAAATAAATAAAATCTAGTGTGCTGTAAAAAAAAGCTACACATCAGGTGGACAGATACGGATTACACTGTGTGGCAAAGTGTTGTGTGAATCCAGAAGAAACAGGTTGGAGCTAGGAGCTTGCACTCACTGGGAATGTGAGGTGTAAGTGAAGCTATTGGACACTGAAGTGCTCACGGTGAGTGGACTGTGTGGGAAAACGTGGCGGGAAGAGAGAAGTAGGTAGGAGCCAGGTCCTAGAACCCATGAGGTCACTGAGAAGTTTGGACGACATGTCCTGTAGGTAGTTGAAGTATTTTCACAGAATACTGCTGGTTTTATGTGGCGTGGCTGTTGCCGCGATTTGTGGGAGGGATCTGAGAGGGAAGAGTGGGTGACCCCACAGAGCAGCAGGGAGGCCATTTGTATTCAGCAGGAAGAGCTGTGGATGGAAGCAATGAGGGGTGGGTGGATGGGTTTCAGAGCTTTTCTTCGGAGAGTCACTAGAATTTTGTCCCTTCTGAAGCTGGAGGTGACAAAGCACTACGCCTCAGATGGACGTATCTCATGAAGAATTCAGGTGAACTGAGCTGCTGTTTGGGCAATTTTGAGAAGGGAAAAGGGACCCTGGTAATGGGGCTGTGCTTCAAGACAGAAGACATCAAAAAAGAGTGCTAAATTGCAGTTGTTTTCCTCGTTAGGAGAGTCCATTACTTTCTAGAAATAACATTTTCTAATACCCTTTGGAATTATCATACCTCTTTTTGTGTTACACTGTGGAAACCTAGTACTTCCGCCACACTCAAGATGGGTGCATCCGATGTAGCCTTTTCAATACTCTCCCTGGGTGGCCCCGCCCCTGTGGAAACCATTTCCGCCACACTGTGCGAAGTGGGACGAATTTTACAGTGTCTCTCAGCACGCAAGATGGCCCGGTTCCTCCTACTTTTCATTGGTTGACTCACTCGGGTCTTCCTCGTGAGGGGCGGGGCTTACATTTGATCGACGGCTACTCTGGTCAATGGGCGAAGAGCAGGGACCAATGAGGCCCTGGAACTGGAGCCCCTTCCCCGTGGTTGGGCGGGTGTTTTGCGTGGGGCGGGGTGGAGCAGAGCCGGAAGCGGGAGGGGAGAGTGAAACAGGAAAAGAAGGGAAGAAGGAAGAAGAGGGAAGAGAAGGAGAGGGAGGAGGAGGAGGAGGAGGAGGAGGGAGGTGGCGGCGCCGTGGCGGAGGAGCAGGAGCAGGAGCAGGAGCAGGAGGGGGATGGAGAGGAGTAGGCTCCTGGGTGGCATGGCGCTCCTGCTCCTCCAGGCGCTGCCCAGCCCCCTGTCAGCCAGGGCTGAACCCCCGCAGGTAAGGGGGAGGGGGCGTCCGGGCCAGGCTGGGGGCCTGGGAGTCGTCGAGGCCTGGCTGGAGAGGTCTGGAGGAATGTTGCTGTTAAAGAGTTGAGGGGTCCCGAGAGGGGCGCCC